ATGACTCAGAACCTGGCCTCTTTGGACCACCGGATTTTGTGAGAGAAAGGAGGCCAGGGTAGGTATGAATTTTAAGACACCTGTAAACAAAAGTGAAAGGGGAAAAAAACCCAATAACAGAGAACGGCAGCATCTCTTAACATGATGAGGGACACAAGCTCCATCTCCAGCAGGCTGAAACTTCATCTTGCCCCCTAGAAATTAGTCCAGCAGCTCATTTTATTTATTGGTCTCAGTCCTTTGTCCTCTTCATAACCTACTTCTGATGCCTTTGATTGTTTTTTCTTTTTAACGAACTGCACGTTCTCTTGCTCTTGCCAGAAAAGCACCTTAATAAAAGTCTCAAAGGCCTTTTTTTGTATTGAAACCTGTCCTTTCTCAGGCTTCCGTGAGGCAGGAACAAGAGGCCATGCGACTGAAGGACGCGGCTTCTTCATTTCACAGTCCTGTCAGGATGTCAGTCAAAACAAGAATCAGAACAAGGAACTTCCTGACCTCCTCACCCTTCACTGATTGGCTCAGAACACGAGCACAAAGTCAGAAAGGTCTATCCACAGTCAATGCCAAGCTCAATCCAGGCACAACTCGTATTTTAGCTGAGCTTGTTCAGTTGGTAAGACCGGGTCACAGGCAGAGGCAGCTTGTGGAGGCCTAGAGAAGAGAAAAGAAAAGTAGTTGATCAAGTCAAGCCTGCAGTCTCGTCCTTGGCTATTTAGGCAAGAAGAAAGCCAGCGCGACACAACAATTTTGTTATTTGTTGCAAGCCACTTGCCAAAAGTGGTATAAGAGAGGCCAACAAGTTTAGCACAACAAAAAAACACAAATTAAAAAAAAAAACCCAAGCCAGCATGCAATCAAGGCAGAAAGCTCTTCTTAATGGAAAGCAGGCCAACTTAACAGAAGTTCCAAGCCTTTCCCAAACTCAAAAGCTTGGCACGCTCATATGTATACACCTATATACTAAGCCCAACTGGCTTAGCCCTAGCTTTCTGAATAAATAACAATTGACAGGGATCACATAAGACACTAAGTTTTTTAAAAAAGATATCATAATTCAACGCCAAGTGTGAACAAGCTACTGGCCATCCGAAAAGAAGAGGCTTCCAGTCCTAGGCTACGCAAGAGACATTCCTTTCCAGGTTGATCAGGCCCCCAGTTGTCTTCCCCTCCTCATTCTCAGAAGACACCCAGACATACTTACCAACTGCCCTGATGAGTTCTGCCTGCACAGCCCAGGTGAACTTCTTCACCAAGCAAAGAGTTGTGAGTCCGGCAAAGAGCATATTATAGAGGAAAACAATGTAGAAGTTTCCCAGCCAGTTAAATCTCCCGAAGTCTCCTAGCAAGTCAAATCTTGTAATCCCTGAAACAAAGAGGAGAAGGAAAGAGGCTGACAACCAGGGACCAGAAATATATCTGTCTTCCAATCCCAATCTTGGCTCTTGTAGGAGGATCAGATCAACTACCATGACATTTCAAATCTGGGGCAGAATTGAGCACCTTCACAAGTTTTGCTTCCATTAAAGAGTGTGTGTGTGGTGTGTGTGTATGTGTGTGTGTATGTACATACACACATATGTATATGTATCTATATATCCCATTTGGCGCCAAAAATTTTAAAAAGCTTTCGAAGGGAATTTTAGTGCTCTACCATTTCTTGTACCTTTTTGGAAGATCTACTGGCAGAAACAGGATAATTAGATTAACCTTTTTTTTATTTACCACATTATTTAGGTTTCATCTGGGCAAGTCTTTTCGTCATTACTATAGCTCCAGTTTTTACAATGAGGCTACACATTTATTTGACTGATCAACCTGATAGGTAGATCCAGGAAGCTACAGAATAGATAACTGTGCAGATAAGAAAGAACAAGACTCACCCAACGTACGAGACAACACAGGGAGTGCAGAACTCAACACCAAGAGGGAGACACAGTTCCCAATGATCTGCCAGGAAATACAATTGAAAACAATGATGTGCATACTTGCCACTGGCTGCCTTCATCTCACACATTCAATCATACACAAGAATTTACTTATTTACTTATGTATCCCACTTTTATTTTTTAACAAGTAACTCACATCAGCAAACATACCTAATACCCCTTCCTCCTCCTCTTTTCTACATTACAATAATCCTGTAAGGTGACTTTGACTGAGAAAGAGTGGCGGGCCCAGTTTTCTCTCCACAATTGGAGAGTCTTCAGCATCTTACACATCCTTCGCCTTGCATGAGGAGATCCAGAGACCAAGTCTTTGGCAAAGAGCATCTCTCTATGGTACTTCTACTCCAAATGGCAAAGAGCATCTCTCTATGGTACTTCTGCTCCAAAAGGCAGAAGGCCATTTGACTGCTGAACACTAGCAATATCTGGTCTGTCAAATAGCTACATGTGATGCATGGGGATTTCCTCCTTAATCCAAAACTGGGGCAAACCAGAGCCAGTTCCCCGGGAGATTGTGCTGCCAGATTCAGTGACAAATTTCCTCCCAAAGGCTGTTTTTCAGGCTTGGTTTTGGAATTCTTTGGAGATTTAAAAACTCAGAAGGGGAGCAGGAAATCTCTGGAAGGCAAATCACTCATATCTGTTATCCTGTGACAATATTCCCAAATTGGGATTTGGGTACATTTTAAAGAGTTGGGAAAGACTGTAAGAGGGAGGCTCAACTCTTTGTCTCCAGTTTCTCTTCTCACCCTTATAATTAAGAAGATGGGGGAAGGGGGCTGATACCCCCTATTTCAGTCAATCTAAGTATTTCTAAAGCACAGCTAGCAGACCCATGGAAAGTCAGGAAACTGTCTTTCAAACGATGCGGATGGCTTTTGAACAGAGATCATTAGAAGGCAATAAACACAAGGGTTCCTCTCTCAAACTAGAAGCCCTTTCTCTGTCTCTGCTAAAATTCACTCATCCCATTTCTCAACTAGGTCTCTTTGCAACTCCACATGCCATTCTCTACCAGAGATTGTCCCACCACCTTGCTTCAAAATTCAAAGCTCTCTAACTATTACAATTCTGTAAACCAGCATTTCTGGAACCATCTATTCCATCTGTCCAACCTTGGCAATTTTAAGACTTGTGGACTTCCCTTTTCTTTCTTTTCCCTACACTTTTCTTTCTCCTTTTCCCTCCCCTATTTTTTCCTACTGTTTTACTTTGTATTTTATATGATTAACTAATTAAAAAATAAAAGACCCGTGGACTTAACTTCAGCATGGCTGGTTGGGGGATTCTGGGAGTTGAAGTCCACAGGTCTTAAAAGTTGCCAAGGGTGACACCCCTGATCTATTCAAATATTGTAACTGCTAAAAAGATTGTTCCTTTTTGCTGTGTTTCTAGCATTCCATGAACAACATTTCAACTAATGGTTTGGAGGTTTTACTAGTGAAAGTATGTAATAATAAAATGTTATAGGACAAAGGCCTACCTTAGTCATGGCTGTGTTGTGTTGTTCAGGCAGCAGTTTAATGAAAAATGGGGAGCTATAGAATCCCACAACAGAGGAGATCATTAAATAACTGAGAAATGTTAAGGAAGAACAGAACAATCTTCAGCTTATGTAAATCAATCAATTATTCACTAAGTCTGCATTACTATTACTATTATTCTTCTCATCGTTCCTATCACCCATCTTCTCCCACTTATGACTGCAGGACTGTAACTTTGTTGCTTGTATCCTTACAATTTATATTGATATTGTTTCCTGATTGCTTATTCGTACCCTATGACTATCATTAAGTGTTGTACCTTATGATTCTTGACGAACGTACATTGTCTTTTTATGTACACTAAGAGCATATGCATCAAAGACAAATTCCTTATGTGTCCAATCACACTTGGACAATAAAAATTTCTCTTCTATTCTATTAAATTTTATGTTACAGATCTTTTGAGAAAAGAAAGAACACAACTACCCATATTATACAGAGATTATGCAACATTATAGTAAAATGGAAGCTGAAAGGAAGGAAAATTCAGCAGAGTAAAAAAGGAAAAAAATCTTTGCAAATGACAGCGGTGGGTTCAGGGAGATGCCCCCTTGGATGGCGTCAGAAAGGTAGCAGACTCATGGAAGAGAAGCCTCTCAGTATAGTAGTAGTTACAATAACAGAGACAGAATGAAAGAAAACCAGAACAGGTTATAATCACGAGAGGATCCAACAAAGGGGGGAAAAAATGTGAAAAAGACCAATAGAAAAAACTGAGTGTTTTCTTACTAAACATGAATAGCATTAACTGCACAAAGGAGATTCCAGTAAGGATACAATATCAGAATGACCTGCATGGCTGCTCCAAAAGAGCCAAAGACAGAGAAAGAAACTTTTCCAAGTGGTGCATCCTGCAGAAGGAGAAAAGAAATTAGGTTACGTTGGGGAGGGAAACACGACAAAAATCTATGCTTTTCTGCACATCAAAAGCTCAGTGCTGCAGCCCAAACCAAATTCTTGCTGGGGGAATCCTTTTCTATAAATGCCCTGCTATTCCTTATTGTCATAAAAGTTGGGTTTTAAAGTTGGTTGACGAGCTTAAAGTCCCTGCTTAGCTCTTTGCATTTTCCCATCATCAGAAGAAACAGAATATATGGCTCGCCTCCCCGTAGCCTCTCCCATGGGAAGGAGAAGCTTCTTTCAAATGGACAAAGGGAAGTCAATGATGGAGTTCTCTGTAGAAACTCTCTGCCTCTGTTCTGGAGGATTGGGGAGCTCTAAAACAAAATAAGAAGATGCAGAAAGGAAAGGAGGTAAAAGGCAATATCTTATATGGTTCCTTAGGAAAAGTAATTGCCCATCTGTGGCTTATAGGATACCAGCTCTCCCCTAGGGAAAGGAGGATAGACGCTGGATTCCTGAAATAGGGACTTTGCCCCAACTTAAAGCAATTGTGTACCATCTGAATGATCCATAAGGACATCTGACAGAGTCATTCATCAAACTGCCAAAGAAAACCAGGCACAAGAAAAGTAGAAAAGCACCAAGGAGGTATCATCAGGTACCTTTTGCGCCCTCACCTGGATTCCTCGAGGCATTGCAGCATCATCCAACAGCAGCTCCAGAACATGGAAGCAAACAACCAGAACAGAGATGCCCTAGAAAATACCATGTAAACACCTGAGTATTAGGTGAAAGATAAGAGATAAGAGGTTTCCATGCTGCATCCTGAGCTTCACCTTAAAGAGCTGTACAGTAGAAGCCGTTTTGCGGCAGTACATTAGAAGCCATTTGAAGACACAACAGGCCGTATCGCAACAGAACACAACCCCCGAGGGGTGTTAGGTCTATCTTAGCCTCACAGTATTTGTTTCCAGAGAGTAAGTAGCCATCTGTGTACCAAGTTTGGTTGAAATTGCTCGAGGCGTTCCAGAGTTATGCTGGAACATACGCATGCGCGCGCACACACACAGAGAGCCATTTTTATATATAAAGAAAACAATTCTAAAGTCTTCAATAACTTTCTCTGGAGAAACTCTTTGCTGCCCCCTAGTGGCTACTCCATTCAGGCCTATAATACTGCATAACTTGTTCTATTACAGCAATTACTTAACCTCAGCAAATTTAAGACCCGTGGATTTCAACTCCCAGAATGCCTCAGTTAGAAGGCATTCTGGGAGCTGAAGTCCACATGTCTTAAAAGTTGCTGAGGTTGAGAAACAACTGTATTAAGCTACATATACATGTATATCTTTTTGCTACTTCACAGTTTAACAATACACTGTGTTCTTCGGCATATAGAATAGATGTAAATAAAGTTCAAAGTATATATTTAAAAACAAACTTTTAGGGATCATTTTCAGACCATTTTCCTGACTTCAGGAGGTTGATATGGCAAATCTAAAGGCTGGAAATGGGGAAGTGAAATTCCCAAAAACGGGAATGCAGAAAAGTTGGAGAGGCCGATCTGTATGAGGGACAGGGTACGTGGCCCTTCTGATGAACAATAGGAATTACTGTCAAGTGTTATTTGGATGGCCGCATGCTGTTGATAAAATACTGTTAAAGACTGATATAGACCAAAATAGAAATTTACAATTAATTTCAGCCCCAGAATTTACCGTCAATGATAGCAGAGACAGCATAGCCAATGGATAGCCCAGGTTCCTTTGCCAACCGGAAGCTTTGCGGCGGGTTTCTGCCAAAAAAGGAGGGGGGAAATGCACAGTTATAATACACAGAAGTTATATTGGACTAGCCGATAACTTGGCGTTGCTCAGGAATTTATTTATAGGGGGAAAATGTCCGGACCAAACATAATTTCTAATGTTGGATTTTTCCCCTTACCAGAGAGAGCCCCTTGTGGAGTACTGTGAAGCCATTACCATGACAACTTCACTGTAGAAGCCATTTTATGGCAGTACAGTAGAATCCATTTGAAGGCACAACAGGCTCTATCTTAACAAAACATCACCCCAAGGGGTTTTCGGGGTGCCTTACCCCACAGTGTTTGTTTTTCAGAGACTAAATCATCTGGGTACCAGGTTTCGTTGAAATTGCTCGAGGCATTCCAGAGTTATGCTGGTACACACACACACTCACGCGTTTTTATATATATAGATGAAGGATGACAATTTTCCATGGTCTCTTGAGGCAATTCTCATTTCCAAGATAACCTCATTTAAGCTCTCTTCCCTCCTAAGGAGAACAACCTCACTGCAATAGAGCGAGGTCCATTGACCTCCAGTAAGATGTTTGCCTCCAATAAAATCAAACCTAATAAAGAAAAGGAGCCAATACTAACATGGGTTTTACTCACCCACCCCCAATCTCTTTTTTTTTTTAAGGAAAAAAAAGTATGTGGATCATGGGGAGAGAAGCCTGAAAGGCGCAGAAGGAAGAAGAAGCAACCATCGTGATCAAAAGCTAAAACACTGTTCAAAATTATAGGCCTCAATCCCAGGCACTGCATATTCAATTTTGTTGTGGTTCTCTCAAGTATTTCTCCAAAAGATAAGGACTCGGCATCTTTGTGGTGTTAGTTCTTAGGTTGGAGCCATCTTGTCTCCTGTGGCTCCATCTCAAGTTTAGAAGATGAAGACAAGTTCCCCTGTTCCCCTCCATAATTTTAATACAGATCCCAACAGATTGTAGATTACCAAGGTTATGGCCTAAGCACCTGGAAGGCATCCATTTCCTGCTCTAGTTCTAAATGAAGCATAAGCAGATTTAGAATAGCAATCAAGGGTGAAGCAGCTTCCCTGCTGTGCCATCATAAATTCTTAAACCCAAGTCCTGGCAGGTTTCTGAAAAAGCATGGAAAGGCATCAGGGGTGGGTTGCTGCCAGTTCGGTTCACGCGCAACTTTGCATGCATGCGCTCACTTTGCTCATGCACACGCCAGACGTGTGCTACACGCACGTGCACAGTTGCCCATAAATTGGTCCGCGCATGTGCAGAACATTTGAAAATGGAAAAAAAACATGCTGCGCCAACTGGGGAACTGGTTCGCAGGCATGGCAGGTCTGGGTCGCTGCCGCTGCTGGTTCTGGCAACCCAGGCCAGCAAACCACTATCGGTTCAGCCGAACCGGTCCGAACCAACCTCTGAAAGGCATACGTAATAGAGAATGTGAATGCATCTGGGAAAATCTTAGTATGCCATTTATATGGCAGGAGGGGAATTAATCTGAGTACTCCCAGGCTAGCATTGCATAAATGTTCGATCTATCCATAATTTTTAAAAAAAGCAGTGCTTGGTGCAATACCAGACAGAACACAAGGGATAGGAAATAGGACTGTTTTGATAAACAGAGGGGCAACAGAGTTATCTCCACGGACGAAAGAGCAGGAGCAACCAGCTTCTTTCCACTGTACATTTTATTCTTACCCAGTGTTATCCTGTGTGCATGAATGGCTAGGTATTGTTGTCTCAACATTTCCATATCAAAATTGAGCCAGCAGGAGGTTTTCCCTGAACAACAACAACAAAAAGAGAGTAAAGAGATAGAACCTGGATCAGCCTCAATGCCCACATGCAGCAAACTCCTTGTCGTGACACCAGGGTACAGTCCTCTATATAGGTAACCCTTATTGAATGACTCCTCGCTCATTAACTGTTTGAAGTTACATTGGAGGTGAATGTGGCAGATGTACAATGGGTCCTCGTCATTGCAGCCGTCACATGGTCATAATTTGGATGCATGGCAATCCCTCACAATTACAACAGTCACAGCATCCTTCAGTCATGTGATTGCCACTTGCAACGTTCCAGGTGGCCTCTGACAAGCAAAGGCAATGGGGAACCCATCAGGAGATGGCAAATAGCAATCATGTGACTACAGAATGCTGCAGCCATACGGGAGTCATCCAGCAATAGCAAGTGGGACCGCTGCAACATCCACCATAAGTTGGCATGGTCACGCGATACGATGCTTTACGACTGCATTGCTTATTATTAAGTGAGAATTACCTATAATTGTCCTTTCAAAACATGTTAAAAATGGATCTCCTCTGGAGATCCCTTGTAGACTGCTGTATGTAGGCAGCCATGATGATTGCTGTATGTCAGCTTTGTCATTTCTGAATGGATTTTATATAGAACTAATATTTATTGTAGAGATCTTTATAATTTAGTTGGTCTGTGGTGCTGTACACCACTGAGAGTCCAATACAGATTGCAATGGGATAGAAAATAGATGAACGGATTGTCATTTCAGCTGTCTGCTAAATCCAAGCACAAGAATTCCCAAGCCTCAGCTCTATCCAACCTTAAATGGGCACCTACCAGAGTTGATCTTGCGAGAAATGGCAGCTTCCTCAAATCCCGTGCAGCTCAGTTGCTCATCTAAATCCTCCAGGAGCTGAAAAGGCAGGAAAAATATACTCAGCTCCCTACTGGGAATAAAGCTGTTTGCTTTGACCATTCCAGAAAAAAATGTATTTCTACAGCTGATGCCTTTTCTCTTTCCCAATCAACTAAGTAAAGATGCAGAGTAGGTGATTAAGAACTGGTTTAACATATAGACCTGTGGGATTGGCAATAATGGCAGGGATTTTTAATCTGCCAAGTGTTTTAACATCAGCAACAATAGCATGTTGCTTAAAGCAGTTTAGGAGGAGGAGGAACAACAGGAGGAATAATTGCAATGGATTTTTCAAGTGGAAGAATGGTGCCTTTATTTCATTCTACCAGTCAAAACAGTTTTGGGCAACAAGTTATGTAATGCAAATCATAATACCCAATGAACTAGATTTGAGAGAAAGAGGGAGGGAGGGAAGGAAGGAAGAAACGAAGGAAGGAATTGATCTTGCAGTCCTGATGTGTTTCCACCTCTCCTTGAATCTATTCTTACCTCTGGCCCTGCTTGTTTCACTTTCTTCCCGAATAACAGTTTGATCATAGTTAGCTAGAAAGGAGACCATCCCTACTGCTTGATTTGGTATCATAAATGATGATAATTTCCCTACCCCTTTTTTTGGAACTGACGCTAGAAAGGCTGAAGCTAACTCACCCTGGGCTTGACCAACAGTGTCCCTGTGACAGTGAACATCCGTGACAGACCGAAGGGTGTACACACTGTAAAGAATTGGAGAGAGAAAAATTGCAATTAGCCCCAGCAAATAACTCCCTGATGATCATCTCTTGCCAGAAGGTGGCACTGTTCTCCACAATCTAGGAAAGTGGATAGGTTCTGCCAGGAAAACAGACCTCTCTGCTTGCTTTGCTGTTTTATCATGCCAAATGCCATCATTTGTCCAGCACAGAGCAGTTGTGGAAAACAGTTGCCATTCTAGGAATCCAGCAGGTTAAAAATAAAAAAACGAACCCAAGTCACCTCTTTCTACAGGGCAACAGATTACTTGAGTTTGGGCTCTTCCAAGTTATTACCTTCACATCCCCATTATCTACCATTTCCCTATTGCATTATTCAAAGAGGCACTTTTTCTTTCAAATGGTTAGATGATGGGAGCCACATTCCCCAAGTCTTTCCAAATGCTTTAGAACTGCAACCCTCAGAATTCTGAGCTAACATGGATGAATGTTGGGGTTCTGACCTATCAGGTAATGACTCTGCTGGCTAGGAATTCTGGGAGTTGTAGTCCCTAAGAAGTTAGAAAATGTTGCTGTGCTAGGTCTCAACTGATCAGCTCTAGGAAACCGTAATACTTCTGTAACAGACCATATCTACAACAGACACTGTCTATTACCAGTATTAACAATTCAAATAACAAGGCAGCAGGTGATAAGAACACTCCTTCTGGGTCCTAAACACTGAAGCAGCAGACAGAAGTGAAAACTTACACAGGAGCAGGAGGACACCAAACAAGGAGATGCAGGAGTAGAGGTAGGGAAGGTAGTATTCCCAGAGATCTGTGGGAGAAAAAAACAATACAGTCAGGTTACAGCCCAGGAGAAAAGAAACATGGACCTCTAGGTCTATCTAGGAAATATCAAGGATGTTGCTGAACTTCAAACCCCAACTTTCCCCAATCATCAGAGCCAAGAACAAGGGGAAGCTGGGAATTGAATTCAGCCATCTCTGACGGCTCCTAGATTGCCCAGGACTGAGCTGCAGATCCTACTGAATACAAAATAAGAGACTATCAGAAAGCAGGAACCAAACTACTGAACAAGGGCCATCTGATCACATTTGCCCCAAGTTATTACTTCTAAGATCTAGATTTTACTCAGGAGCTGAAGGTAGCACATAGCAATAGCAATAGACTTATATACCGCTTCGCAGTGCTTTACACCTCTCTGTAAGTGGTTTACAGAGTCAGCCTATTGCCCCCAACAATCTGGGTCTTCATTTTACCCACCTCGGAAGGATGGAAGGCTCAGTCAACCTTGAGCCTGGTGAGAATCGAACTGCTGGAGTGAACAGTGAGTTAGCCTGTGATACTGCATTCTAACCACTGCACCACCACGGCTCTGGGCTTTCCCTCCTCCTATTTCCCCCCACAACAATCCTGTGAGGTAGATTGGGCTGAGAAAGAATGACAGGCCCAAAGTAACTCATCCACTGAGTCTTTGTGGCCGAGGGGGGACTAGAATCTTGGCTCCCTCGAGTTCTACCAAAACTCCTTAAACCCACTACACCACGCTGGTTCTTGCTCTCAAAGCATTTCTGAATTGAGCAAAGACAGAAAAAGGTCCTTTTCTGTCAATCCAGAAATTATTTCCAATGCACCAAAAATCATACAAAGGGTTGTTCTCATCTCAAACATCACTGCTAGCCAGAACTCGTTCTTCTGAATCTGCAGCTGACCGAGCTTCCAGTCATGTGTTTCATTTCCTGCTTGGTTTCCATGAGACATGACCAAGGGACACTAGGCTATTAGAAGCTTATTGCTTATTCGCTGGAGAGTTTTGTCTTTCATGGAGAACCTTTGGGTTGGAAGCACCCAATTTGTTTGTTGGTTTCATTTGACTTGTATGCTGCCTTCGTTATTGTTTATAAATAATCCAAGGCAGCAAACATACCCAATAGTCCTTCCTATTTTCACAACAACAGCCCTGTGAGGTGGATTGGACTGAGAGAGTGTTACTGATCCAAAGTCACCCAGCCGATTTTCGATGCTTAAGACAGAGCTAAAACTAGACCAGTGATAGCAAACTTTTTTGGCACCAAGTGCCAAAAAGGGAGGGTGCACGCTTATCTGTCTGCAACCGGGAAGAGGAGCTGCACAGAGCAGACAGGCCCCCCTGAAAATGAACTTCCGGTTTCCAGTGCGCACATGCACGCCAGCCAGCTAGTCTTCCGGGTTTCTGGGGCACATGCATGTGGGACAGTCAGCTGGCCTGTGCGTATGCTCGCCCCAGAAGACCAGCTCTTCCAGTTTCCAGCACTGCCGCACACACAAAGGCCAGTTGAACATCGCAGGTGCATGCGCGCCAGAAACCCAGAACAACAGGCGATGCTGCACATACAGCACCACTTCGGGCACGCGTGCGCCATAGGTTCGCCATCACTGTGCTAGACCAAACTGGCCTAACAAACTGACCAAACCAACAAAAATTGGACCAAACAATTCCTTCACAACTCAGCTCCACCGATGAGCGGCTGAGGGATAAGATGATTTATGCTTGCTGGCTAAAGTTTGGGCAACCTAGAGACTAGTGCTGTACCTGCCAATGTAGATTCAAGATATCACTCTTCAACTGCCCTCTTCACAGCTCCTTGCTACCCGGGGCTCAAATCTCCCCTTGCAATGGAAGGTATATCCCTGTAGGGGGCGAAAAGTCTCCCCACACCATAATAACTCACCATAGAGGCTTTCCCTGCTCGCCCCATCCTGGTCCAAAATAGCAGAGGCGACCCAGACCATTCCCAGCACCAACAGGGTTAGCAACAGCAGGACTACAAAGGTCTCATATACCCGAGCCATGATCCCCTGGACAGAAGCAGAAAAGGGGGACAGTTATTTCCACTCCGGAACTGGGAATAGGATATGAAGTCTTCAAGAGGCAGCTGGCACTATTTTGCTTCTAGGTGGAACCTAGAAACTGGACTTTATTGCTTGAAACTGAAACAGTGATTTTTTAATTTGGGGATTTGACGATTCAAACTGTTTATGATTATAGAAATACTATTAAACACTATTAAATTTTAGAGCAAAAGGTTGGTTTTTTTGTATTTGTAACTGCATTGAAGAAAGTTGGAAGTCACTTTTATTCTATTATTATTTTTTCTTTTATTCCTTGCACTTTTCATACCCCACTTAAATTTTATTTTGTCTAGGAATTCAAGTGCGTGTATATGTGTTTGTTTGTGTGAGTGTGTAAATAAAGTAAATAAAAAGAGGCAGTTGGTACCTTCTTTGATCCAGCAAAGCCTTCGGACTCCGTGAAGAAGTAGGCAAAGGGCATGAGGAAGACGAGGGAGAGGTTGGAGAAGAGGAAGACAAGATTCCAGAGTCCTAGGAACAGAAAAGAGGGAGAGAAATTCCCTTATGCCTCTGCTCCAGCTCCTCAAAGGCCTATCCCTGCTGCCTCTCCTGCTGTTTGGACTCCTGCTAGCCTCCTTGATTTGGGCCATTCCTGGGATAATCCACAGGGGCCCAACTCTGATGGGACACCCTTTTCCTTTCCAAACTGGATCTGACAGCCTCCTCAAAGCTGAAAATCCCAGTCACCTTTACAGAAAGGTTACACACATGCTTGTTACCAATGTTCCTTCCCGAAGTTGCGACCCTACCTGAATCGGGAAGCACTCACAACAGTCACTCGGGCCCTCGTGACCTCTAGGCTG